GCCGGGCGTGGTAGCGTGTGCCTGTAGTTCCAGCTACCTGGAAGGCTGAGGCGGAAGGATGGCCAGAGCCCATAAGGTCAAGGCTGCGGTGGCCGGGAGCGTGCCACTGCGCTCCAGTCGGGGTGACGGAGTGAGACTCCAATCAAAAAAAAAAAAAAAAAAAAAAAAAAAATTTATTGTAGAGACGAGGTCTCACCAAGTTGCCCGGGCTGGTGTCGAACCTGCAGGCTCAGGCCATCACTTGCCTTGGCCTCCCGAAGTGCTGGGATGACAGGCTGAGCCGCCGTGCCCAGTCGGTTTTTTGTTTTTGTTAGAGATTGTGTCTTGCTATGTTGCCCAGGCTGAAGTGTAGTGGCATGATGATCACATGTCACAGTAGCCTCGAACTCCTGGGCTCAAGCGATCCTTCCATCTCAGCCCCCTGAGTAGCTGGGACTAGGAGTATAGGCCCTTCACTGTGAGATACCGCACCGGGCCTAAAAGTTTCTTAAAACCAATAGGATGCAATATAAACAAGTATTTACTGCTATTATCAGGCAATTCACAGGGCTGGTGTCCCCTTGGAAAGTCTGTCCTCTGTTCGTTGCCTGGTTATCCTCTCAACACCTCACCGAACTGTCAGCAGTCCCAGCTGGGCACCTGCGCCCCCAGGGGCTGGTGGGCACCTTGCAGGCTGCTTCATGTGGGGAAAGGCTTTTGGGGATCAGTGGCCGGCCCCAACCCAACGACCAAGGCCAGGCATGGCCTAAGGAAAGCTCAGCTTTCTGGCCAGGCGTCCTCATGGTTCACATCCCTCTTGGAGGCCAGCCCTGGGGGTACAACCTGCCATTGCTCTCGAGGGCACTCACCTGGGGAGGGGCTCCCTGCCCCGGAAAGGCCTCCGTCCGCTGCCTCCCCTTCTTCAGGCGGGCCCTTGCCGTCTGGGGCCCTGGGCTGCGTGTGAGAGAAAAGCTGCAGGACGAAGCCCGGAGGAAAGCTGCCGTCGGTAAAGTGCCGGACCTCAGCGGGTGCGGCGAAAGCCTCTGTGGGAGAGCTGGGCGGCGGCGGGGGGTCTGCGGGGGAAGGAGGGTGGACCTGTGAGGGGCGGCGGCCTCAGGGAGACTGGTGCCCTCAACTGGGCCCACCCTCCTCGCTGACTTGGGTCTCCCGACCGAGCTGCCGCCAGAGCCCACACGCCCCCTCCCCAGGCCGCCCTTCACCTGGGTCGGGGTCAGGGTGTTTGGTCGCAGATCTGCCTTTTTTCTTTCTGACTGGTTCTTCCTCAGGGGACTCCTTCCATCTCTGACCACGAGGCTTCTTAGTTCCTGGCTCTGTGGCAGGGGTGGCTGCAGAAAGAAAAGCCCTTAGACCTTTGTTGGGGTCTCACTCTGTTGCCCAGGCTGGAGGGCAGTGGCATGATCACAGCTCACTACAGCCTCGACCTCCAGGGTTCAGGCGATCCTTCCATCTCGGCCTTCTAAGTAGCTGGGACTAGAGACATGCCACTACGTCCGACTGACTTTTTACAGAGACAGGGTCTCGCTACGTTGCTCAGGCTGGTCTTGAACTCCTGGGCTCAAGCAATCTTCCTGTCTCAGTCTCCCAAAGTGCTGGGATTACAAGAGTAAGCCACCATGCTCGGCCAACCTTACACCTTTTTTAAGAGGCCATGCCTGAACCCTGCCACCCCAGGGGTCTCGAAGACACCGCCCAGCACACGGGGCCTGGGCTTCACCCTGGCCCCAGCCCCATATCTGACCCCCCCAGCCTCCCGGCTTCCCTGTGGAGGACTGACCGGGAAGCTCGAGGGGGCGGAGTCCCCTGGGCCGGATCCTCTTAGGGAGGGACGGGTTGTCCTCAGGGTCAAGGAGGACGACGATCTCCGCCGGCACCTTGGCGGTGCCCGGGTTGGAATCCGGGTCCAGCTCGACATCCCGGCCTGAGTCTGAAGTGGGCAGAAGCCCAGTGAGCTCCAGGCGTCCCGGCGGGTGCCAGTCCCCCTCCGCCCGCACCCCAGGCCCGACTACCTGAGCTGGGTGGGGATGGCTGGGCTCCGGCGTCTTGCAGGAGGGCCACCCCCTCGCTCCAGGCCTCCAGGATGTTGCCCTTCTCCGAGGGGCTCAGGTCTAAGGTGTGCGGGTGCTGGTCCAGGATGTGCCTGCGAGCCGTGTCGGCCGAGGGTGCCTGGATCTCGGCCCCACACACCATGCACAGCGCCCGCCCGCCGCCGCCTGGACTGCTGCCCACCAGAAACTCCTGCTCCCAGGACAGCTGCTTGGGCTCTTCACAGCCATCCCCGCTGGCCTCCAGCGGGCTGGGTCGAGGCGGTGGAGTCTTCTCCTGCTGGGTCACTGTGGAGGGAGCGGGGAGCGTGTGGTCAGCCCAGGTGTCCATGGCCAGCATGACTTAGCAAACTTGGCGGTGCGGGGGGCGGGGAGGGGCGCACTCCTGCCCCAGTGCTCTCCCTGTTCCTGCAGGGCAAGAATGGTAACTTTTTTTTTTTCTTTTTGAGTTGGAGCCTCACTGTCACCCAGGCTGGAGTGCAGTGGCACGCTCGCTCACGGCCACCACAACCTTGCCCTGCTGGGCTCAGGCGATCCTTCTGCCTCAGCCTTTCAAGCAGCTGGAACTACAGAATGCGCCACCATGTCCAGCTAACTTTTTTGATTTATTGTAGAGATGAGGTCTTGCCAAGTTGCCCAGGCTGGTCTTAAACCCCTGAGCTCAGGCAATCCTCTCACCTCAGCCTCCCAAAGTGCTGGGATTACATACAGGCTTGAGCCAC